TCCCCTTGCGCAGCAAGGGTGAGGTCCCTGATGTCTTGATCCCTTGGATCCGTGAAGTCCGTCTCCAGCTCCGCGAGCGGTTCTGCCAGGACCTTCCTGTCCTACGTCTCCACTCTGACAGAGGTGGTGAGTTCTCCTCCGACCTCTTGCGAGACTTTTGTCGTGGGGAGGGCACTCTCCAGTCGTTCACGCTTCCGAACTCCCCGCGGAAAAATGGGATTGCTGAGCGCCGCATCGGCTTAGTCATGGAGGTCGCTCATACCTCCATGATCCATGCGGATGCCCCCCATTTTCTATGGCCGTTTGCTGTTCGGTACGCTGCGCATCATCTCAACCTTTGGCCCCGTGTCTCCTTGCCGGAGACCTCGCCTACACTGTGTTGGACAGGGAAGGTTGGCGATGCGTCGGTGTTCCGGGTCTGGGGTTCTCGTGCCTTTGTTCACGATACGTCCGCGGACAAGCTCTCTGCTCGCGCTATTCCCTGCGTCTTCCTTGGCTTTCCCCTTGACGCGCCTGGCTGGCAGTTTTACCACCCCACCTCGCGCCGTGTCCTCCCCTCTCAGGACGTCACGTTTGACGAGTCGGTTCCCTTTTACCATCTCTTCCCCTACCGCTCTGCCCCTCTCCCACCCCTGCCGCTCTTCCTTGCTCCAGGTCCCCCTCCGGTAGACCCCCTCCCCCGTCAGGGTCCTGCTCCCTCAGGTGTGTCTCAATTAGACACTTTCCCTGGTATTGTGCTTGTTGAGGTCGCTGTAGACTCAGGTGCTGCTAGAGGTGCTGCATCTGGGGGTGCTGAGTCTGAGGGTGCGGGGTCTGGGGGTGCTGAGCTTGGGGGTGTGGAGCCTGGGGGTGCTGAGCCTGAGGGTGCGGAGCCTCGGGGTGCTGAGTCTAAGGGTGCAGAGTCTGGGGGTGCTTAGCCTAGGGGTATTGCTTCTTCTGGAGGTCCTGCGGGTGCCTCGCCACGAGTGTCTCCCCATTCGGAGCCTCTCTCCCCGCAGCAGCTGCTCGAGTGGTTTGCTCGGTGCACACGCCCTCGGAGTGGAGCTGCCGGAGCTGGAGACTCTGCCACTGAAGGCACTGGAGCTGGAGGTGCTGGAGCTGCTAGTCTTGGAGGTGGTGGAGTTCTTGCTGGAGCTGGAGGAGCTGGAGCTGGAGACCCTGGCGCTGGTGGCGCTAGAGGTGGAGGCACTGGAGCTTCTGGTCCTGGAGGTAGTAGAGCTGCTAGAGCTGGAGGTGCTGCAGGAGTTGGAGCTTGAGGCTTTGGAGCTAGAGCTGCTAGAGGTACTAGAGCCGCTAGTCCCAGAGGTGCTCGTACTGAAGGTACTGGAGCTGCTGGAGCTGGTGGTGCTGCAGGTGTTGGAGCTGGAGGCACTGGCGCTGAAGCTGCTGGAGGTACTAGAGCTGCTGGAGCTGGTGGTGCTGCAGGCGTTGGAGCTGGAGACACCGGAGCTGGAGGCGCTGGCCTTGGGGGTGCTGGTGCTTTTGGTGCTGGTTCTGTAGACACTGGACGGCTGCGACCGTACTTTGTTCCCCTGCTTCAGCAGGTTCTTGGTCTCCCGTCTTCAACTGGCCTTACTCCTCCCTTACTGTGTCCACCGCTTGACCAGTCGCAGCCGCCGCTACAGCCAGCCTCCCCACTGCCTGCTCCTTCTCCTTACACTGAGGAGACCGGAGGTCTTACAGAGCGTCGTGAGCCTGTGTCTTGTCCTGCCTCACCTGTTCGCGCTGTTCGCACTGGTCGTCGTGTTCCTCGTCCGCGTCCTCCTCCTGTCCCCGGCACGCACGATATGGCACTTCGTCCTTCCTCTGTTCCACAGCGTGTCCCCCTGTCGTCTCCTCCTGCGTCCTCTCTTGCTGACGGCCCGGACCCTGAGTCTGGGTTAGTTCGTGCTGTCAGTCCTACTGTCCCTCGTCTTCTAGCCACTGTTGTCACTGACCCTTCGTTTGAGTCTGCTGCTGCGTCTGCCCTAGTTGCTGAGCTTGTTGACTTTGCTACCGCCCGTCGTCTCGACTACGCCGCTAGTCTTGTTGCTGAGTCTGAGTTTTAATGTCCTCCGTTTGTCGGAGGTGAGTGTGCTCTTGGCACGGACGTCCTTGAGGACAGGCAGGAGGACTTAGAGTGTTATACGTATACCTGCATGCTTACTCTTGTTAGGGTATGGTCAATGTATTGTTTGTTCTCCTTTATATAACACTGCATGTGAACTAGCCTTTTGACCTTTTGCTTGTGCTCGGAATGTGTGGTGACTTTGTGATCCACCCCGAGCTTGTTTTGCTCTTCTTGACTGGTCTGTGACCTCTTGTTCTCCCCACTTTGCCTGTGGGGGTGTGTCAGAAGGTCATAGTGCTTACTTTGTGTAGGCTATAGTGGGGTAGCCCATAAGGGGTACAACCCAATTAGGGTTAGTACTTGTACCCAACTCCTGTTCAATGCATTCACTTCGTTCTAGTTTCTAACAACCACCAGATCCGAGTCAACCCACTCGAATGCCCGAAAACAGCTTTCCGAACACGCTACGGATCCTTCGAATACACCGTTATGCCCTTCGGACTGACCAATGCCCCTGCAACCTTTCAAATAACCATGAACGAACCCTTTCGCCCGCTTTTAGGTAAGTGCGTCATCGTGTACCTCGACGACATACTGATTTACAGCCCTGACAGAACACGGCACCTACGAGACATTGAAGCAGTTTTTAAATTACTGAGTGAGAACCGCCTACCGACGAAAGCATCTAAGTTTGAGTTTTTACAGGACAGACTGGAGTTTTTGGGACACATTTTTCAGCTGAAGGAGTGGAAATAGACCCGAAGAAGATCGCGACGATTCAAGCGTGGCACGCGCCGACAAACTTGACTGAGTTGCAGAGCTTTTTGGGGTTTGTCAACTACGTGCGCCGGTTCGTCTCCGACATGGCAAAGTTGACTGCTTCGTTGACCGACCTGCTGAGGAAGGGGGTTGAGTACACGTGGGGGGAGAAAGAGCAAGCTGCCTTCTCGGCCCTCGAACAAATTCTGTGCTCGCCGCCCGTGCTTCACATCGCAGATCCGCACCGTCCGTTCGAGCTCGTCACCGACGCAAGTGACATTGCCGTGGGAGCTGTACAGTTGCAGGGCTTCGGGAACGGCTTCCACCCAATCGTGTACGATTCCCGCAAGCTGCATCCGCCCGAACGCAACTACCCGATACATGACCGCGAAATGCTGGTGATCGTGCACGCGTTCAAAGTGTGGCAATTCTACCTGACTGGAGCCGACGTGACAGTACTGACAGATCACCGATCGCTAGAGTACCTCTGCGCCCAACCGAATCTCAACCCGTGACTGACCCGCTGGTTGGACTATCTGGAGTCCAACTTCCACTACACATTCACATCGCCGACGCACTCACACATCTTACCGCCCAACTCCACGCCATCCTACTCGCCCAAACCAACCCACAGTTAACAAGCCTATTCACCCACGGATACAGTACCGACCCATTTTTCATGACAGGAAATTCACAGCTAAGGGATTCTATTACGTAAAAACAGGCACCAACCGCATTTGGGTACCCGCGTACTCACTACTGAGGGAACTGTTACTGCAGGAGGCACACTACGGGATTACCTCGGGCCACTTCGGGGTTGAAAAAACGCGACAGCAACTGCAGCGGTATTACTACTGGACGGAGCTGTTAACCGACGTACAGCACCACGTAGGCTCGTGTCCTACGTGTCAGGTGATGAAGAGCTCGCGAAAGAGAAAGGCAGGTCAATTGCAGCCGATTCCACCGCCCGAGCGCGCCTGGCAGCAAGTTACCATGGATTTCATCACGGGGTTACCTTCGAACCCTGGGGGTAACGACACGGTTATGGTCGTCGTTGACAGACTGACGAAAATGGCTCACTTCGCTGCATGCAAGAAATCGATCTCAGCCGAAGAAACCGCTCGCATGTTCATCGCAGCTGTCGTTCGACTGCACAGGATACCAGCCGTGATAATCAGCGACCGCGACACAAAGTTTGCCAGCAACTTCTGGAGGAACCTCTGGGAGCAATTCGGGACCAACCTACAGTTCAGTTGATCGTACCACCCCGAGATCAACGGTCAAACGGAGCGGACCAATCAGACGATGGAGCAGTTGATTCGGGCCACGTGCGACGACTCGACAACTTGGGAGCAGCGGCTGCCGCTGATCGAGTTCGCCTACAACAACGCCACGTGAGCGACGACGCAGCAGTCCCCGTTTTACCTGAACTACCGTCAAAAGCCAACAGTGCCCATGACGCCGAGTCCGGACAACCCAACGCCACGAGCACAGCAATTCGCCGAGATTCTGCAAGCTGCTCGCACAACAGTTGCAGAAGCAATTAAAAAAACCAACGTCATCGCTATACGCAACGCTGACCGCCACCGCTGACCAGTCACGTACCAGTCAGGGGATTACGTACTGCTCGACACACAGAACTTAAGACTGCCCCCAAAATTACGACTGCGCTACTGTGGACCATTTCAAATCAGCCAAATGATCACCCCAGTTACTGCCCACTTACTGTTGCCGACAAACTGGTACATCAGCCCATCATTCCACATCAGCCTGCTTCGCCCTGACATCCCAAGCACGAGCCAACTGCCTCGTCACCGCCCGCCATCCATGACTCGCCCTGCATGGGAGCCGATCATCAAGCCCGAAAAAAATTTGAGCCATCGGATTCGCCACCCCACAGGCATAAAGAGGATCGAGTTCCTCGTTCGCTGGAAGATAGCTGGGGATAGCCGGGTGCCCCTGGCCAACATCGAAAACCACCCTGCCCTGCAAGTGTACCTACGCGTCCGGACGTCACACACGCGTAGGCAAATCGACCTAGCTTCGACCAAGCTTGCCCGCGACGTCCTCGGTTGACCAGCATAGCACGTCGATCAAGCTTCCCCTCGTTACCCTCTCTTTCCCTCCGTCACGCGCGCATCCCCTCATCACCCGCGCTTCCACTCACGTCCCGCAAGTCTACTCGTCAATCATGCTTCTCGTCGTACTAAGCGCGAACCCTCGTCACGCGCGCTTCCCCTCGACGCCCACGCTTCCCCTCGTCTCTCGCGCTTCCTCCCCGCTCGCGCTTCCCCTCGTCGTCTGCTCTTCTACTCGTCAGCCGTGCTTCCCCTCATCACCCGCGCTTCCCGTCATCACCCGCGCTCCCCCCGGCGCTCGCCCTTCCCCTTGTCTCTCGCGCTTCCCCCAGCGCTCGCCCTTCCCCTCGTCGCTTGCGCTTCTCGTCGTCACCGCGCTTAGACTCGTCACCTGCAATTCCCCTCGTAACCCACACTCTCCCCCGTCACCCGCGCTTTCCCTCGTCGCCCTCGCCTATCCAATTTGCCCTCAATCCCCTTGTCGATAGCTTCTTTAAGATCCGTCATCTCTCCCTCTTGTCATCTCTCCCTCTCGTTATCTTCCCTCTCTCTCTCCCTTTCTCCCACGCAGAGGGACAGAGGGGGAGGGATAAAGAGGGAGGGAAAGAAGTGAGGGACAGAGGGGGAGGGACAGAGGGGGAGGGACAGAGGGGGAGGGACAGAGAGGGAGGGACAGAAGTGAGGGACAGAGGGGGAGGGACAGAGTGGGATGGACAGTGGGGGAGAGACAGAGGGAGGGACAGAGGGGTAGGTACAGAGGGGGGAGGGACAGATGGGGAGGGACAGAGGGGGAGGGACAGAGGGGAGGGACAGAGGGGGGAGGGACAGATGGGGAGGGACAGATGTGAATATGTGTAATTCTTATCTTGTTACCAATATGTTATTCATTACTGGTCATCTTCAGAGTGCCATTTCTTTGCAAATTTTAGGGTTTGACCTAAAGTGTTGTACTCAGTAGAGGCCACCCCACTACAGCCTACACATACAAATATAATTTGACACACCCCCATAGGCAAAGTGGGGGATAGCAAACACAACGAAAGATCACAAGACCAGTCAAGCAAGAGAACAAAGCAAAGCAAAGCTCAAGCTGGATCTCAAGGATACCACACAATCTGAGCACAAGCAAGCGGCCACAAGGACAGTTCACATGCAGAGTTATAATAGCAAGGTCGTACACTGATCACAACCTAGCAAGAGTAAGCATGAAGGTATAAAGATATATATAAGTGTACAACAAGAGCAAGTCAAGCAACCAGCAGGTTAGGCAGAGTGGGCACAAGCCCAAGAGCAGTGCAGAAACACTGATGATCACCAGACCCAAAGGCCTTCGTGAACAGATCAGCAGTGTTGGCCCGCGAGGCCACGTAGGAAAGGCGGAGCTGACGACGTTGCTACAGCTCACGTGCAAGGAAGTAGCGAAGAGCAATGTGCTTCGTTCTGTGCTCCAGTCTCTGCTCGTGACACAAGGCAGGCATTGCCTTGTTGTTCATGTGCAGAATGGAGGAGAACGAGGCCACTCCCCCAAGTCGGTCAATAGGTAGGTTAGCCGGCGTAGCTCCTGTGTCGCCATGGCCCCAGCATAGATCTCGGCCTCACAGCTAGAACTAAGCACAGAAGAAGAACGAGTGGACCTCCATGAGACAGAACCAGAGCCAAGTTTGAAGGTGTAACCCTGTGACGAATGCTGAGTCGCCTGGTCGTTGGCCCAAGAAGCGTCGGAGTGTCTTGTCGGTACCACTGAACCCTGTCATCCAAGCACGAGCCCCATGCTCGATGTACTGCACAAGTAACGCAGTACCCTCTTCGCAGCATCCCAGTGCACCTTTCGGTGTCTACTGGGAGCCAAGTAGTGAGCCAGGAGGCTGAGAGGGTACGCAAGGTCAAGTCGTGTGCACATCATCAGGTACATGAGGCAACCCACAAGCTCTGAGTACGGACCACTCGACTTTACGGACTCAACCGAAGATGGAGCTGAGAGCGAGTGGCCGGTAGACAGAGGAGTGGGCTGTGGCGAGGAGAAGTGTCAGTAGTAGCAAAAACCAAGTCGTCGACGTACACGAGAACGTAGAACGGCGGCAGGGTAGTGCAGGTGCGTAGAAACAGTGATGGGCCAGCAGAGGAAGGAGCAAACCCAAGAGCCGCAAGTGTAGTCCTCAGTGTGTCGTGCCACTCTCGGGGCGCCTCGTGGAGACCGTAGACTGGCTGCTGAAGGCTCCACTGGGTATCCGGAGGAAACGACCCAGTGAAGCCAGGTGGGCGGCGCAGCCAGATCTCCTCGTGAAGGCTGCCCTGCAAGAAAGCTGTGGAGAAGTCGAGGGAGTGCAGCTCGTAGTCACGCTGTGCTGCAACGTGCAGCAGCACCCGAAGAGTAGTCATCTTTGGGGTGGGGTAGAAGGTATGGAAGAAGTCGACCCCCTGCCGGTGACTGAAGCCTCGAGCAACGTAACTCGCATTGAAGGCAGGCGGGGAAACCGGCGGTCGCTTTACTATGAGAATCCACACGCCATCGACTATGTTCGCCCCAGGAGGAGGAACCTCGTCGACGTAGGTGCCTGTGGACTTCCAGGAAGCCATCTCTGCGTCCATGGCTGTCTGCCACTAAGAGGAGTTCTCACCCGCGATCGCCTCAGCGTAAGAGCGGCATGGATGCGAAATGAGGTAAAGCGGCCGCAAGACATTCAAGCTCAAACTGACTGTCCTCAAGGATGTCACTGCTAAGGGCAGGCTCACCCCCAACGCACGGAGGACAAACAGACTCAGACTCAGTAACAAGACTCGCGACGTAGTCGAGAGGACTCCTAGCTGCAAAGTCGACTAGCTTAGTGACTAGGGCAAACGCAGCAGTAGACTCAAAGTTAGGGTGAGTGACGACAGTGGCAAGGAGACGAGTGACAGAAGGAGTGGCAGCAACGTAAAAATGCGGAAGAGAGGACGCGGGAGGCTCAGGCAAGACAACACGCTGTGGAACAGAGGAAGGACGAAGTGTCATACCGTGAGTGCCTGGGACAGCAGGAGGACGAGGACGGGCAACACGACGAGCACAAACAAGGGTGGAAGCACGAGTCTCAGGATCACGACGCTCAGTCAGGGACTTATTCACCTCAGTATGAGGAGCAGGAGAAGGCAGCAGGAAGCCAGGCAGAAGCTGTGGCTGAGACTGGTCTGTCGGTGGACACAGGAGAGGTGGAGTGAGGCCACTGGAAGACGGGAGACTAAGAACCTGGCGAAGGACCGAGTCAGGAGGCGGCAGGGACGACTGCTGCTGCGGGTAGAAAAACAGTCGGCGCGGCGCAGTACCAACAGCTCCATCTCCTCCAGCACCAGCAGCACCACAAGCTCCGGCAGCGCCAGCACCTCTAGCACCAGCAGTACCTCCAGCACCTCCACTGCCAGCAGCTCCAGTAGCATCTCCAGCACCTCCAGCACCAGCAGCACCACCTGCTCCGACAGCTCCAGCACCTTTAGTACGAGCACCTCCAGGACCAGCAGCTCCAGCAGCTCCAGTACCTCTTGTACCTTTAGCTCCAGCGCCTCCAGCACCAGCAGTTCCTCCAGCACCTCCACTACCAGCAGCTTCAGTAGCACCTCCAGCACTTCCAGCACCAGCAGGACCACCTGCTCTGGCAACTCCAGCACCTCTAGTGCGAGCACCTCCAGTTTCAGCAGCTCCAGCACCTCCAGTACCTGCAGCACCATCACCTCCAGTGCCAGCAGCTCCAGTAGCACCTCCGGCACTAGAAGCACCACCAGCTCCGGCAGCTCCAGTACCTCTAGTACGAGCACTTCCAGGACCAGCAGCTCCCGCAGCTCCAGCACCAGTAGCACCAGCACCTCCAGTGCCAGCAGCTCCAGTACCCCCAGCACCTCCAGCACTAACAGCACCACCAGCTCCGGCAACTCCAGCACCTCCAGTACGAGCACCTCCAGGACCAGCAGCTCCAGCACCTCCAGTACCTCCAGCTCCAGCGCCTCCAGCACCAGCAGCACCTCCAGCACCTCTAGCACCAGCTGTACCTCCAGGCCTAGTAGGTCCAGCACCTCGAGCACCAGTAGCACCTCTAGGACTAGTAGCTCCCGTTATAGTCACAATAGGCTTGAATGTGCCTAAAACGAAAGATAGAGTGCACAGTCGGATTTCTGCACAGTGGTTTCAAGCGTTGATAGCGTTCTGCTCTCAGCTTCCAATGACTTGCTATAAATTGGATCTGGAGCGTCTTGATGTCGCCTACACGAGGCAAGTTGAATCACACGATTTTATCAAGAATTGACGACGCAACGTTGGTTTGAACGAACGGCACTATGGCAGCCACTATAGACTTAGAACACAACATTTGGAAGAGTTACGAGTTGGGAATGACTCCCAGCTCCTACAAACCCCAAGAGCCGAGGTACAGTGATGTGGAACAGTGCCACACTGTCCCCAACCACGAAGGGTCTCGAAACTGCCCTCCACAAGGGCCTACACCAAGAGAAACGTTACACTACACAAAGTAATGCAACTATTCTCACTATCTTAAAGTTTACCCTTTTGGAGAGCTTCGAAATCACTTGAATCTTGAAACCAAGGCTCTGGTTCTTCAAGATAAATTCTTCCTTGAATTCTGCTGCGCACACCTGCGACACGCCGAACGTTCCACACACGACAAAATAGAAAAACGCACACGACACGCAAACAACGACGTGACACGCGACTAGCGATAACTCGCTATTGACTCGACACACACATTCAAAACCATGCCTCATCATTCACACACTATGGTAAGCATGAAAGATATATTATCTCATGCCCTCATACCATTCCATGCACACACGCATGCACGCACACAGACAACAAGCCGAATGCAAACCGTAGGGTTGCACCAACAAACTCCCCCTCGGATTGTTGGCCTTAGGAACTTGCTCTCTCAGTTCAGAGCCATCCCAGCCAGCAGCCTCTTGGTCATCATGTCAGCTGGCTGCCCCATCGTCTTTACGTAGCGCAACTCAACTTCACCCGCGGCCACCATGCTCCTCGTCCAATGCCACTTCACCCTCATGTGCTTCGTGAGGCCATGCAATACAGGGTTCTTAGCAAGAGCAATGGCACCCTGGCTGTCACAGTAGAGTGGGGTAGGTCCTTGCTGCTCCTCCCCCAATTCAGCCAACAAACTCCGTTGCCACACAATCTCCCGTACGGCACGGAAAAGTGCCATGTACTCGGACTCCACCGAGCTCAATGCTTGATCCACCTGCTTCTTGCTCTCCCAAGCAGTTGGGCCTCCATCAACACAGCAAATGAACCCTCCAACACTTGTCATGTCCTCTGGTTCTGATGCATAAGAAGCATCCGAGAATGCGGTGAGGAACAAACGCCCGGGTTCAACACCATCCGCGCCTTTTTGGCGCCTTTGCGCCGCCGTCGAGTATTGCAGCCCAACGGTCGGTGTTTGGCCAAGATACTTGGCCACCCTCATTCCAGGTGCTACCTGCTCCTCATTAGGGCATTGAACAACCCTAGCCAACTGTCCGGTAGCAAACGCGATGTCCGGTCGGGTGTTTACCGCCGCGTACATGAGGCTGCCCACCAACGAGTGAAAACGGCGCTTCTCCTCTTCACCAACACTCTCCTCCTCTGGTCCCTTCACACACTTGAACCCAGAGGGAAAGGGTGTAGCCACATGGCCTTCACTCTGCCCAAAGATGGCAGCCAATGCCTCCAGGTACTTCCGTTGATGCACCCGCATGCACCGCTTCTCCGCATCTCGTTCGATGTGGAGCCCAAGGTAGAAGCTCACGTCACCAAGGGCCTTGCACTTGAAATTGTCTTGAAGCTTCAGCATCACCTCCTTCACAAGGTCAGAGGAGGGTGAGAAAAT